TAAAACATTGTATGTAATTTACATAGTTCATTAAAATATTGTAAATAATTTACATAGTTCATTAAAATATTGTATATAATTTACATAGTTCATTAAAATATTGTATATAATTTACATAGTTCATTAAAACATTGTATCTAATTTACATAGTTCATTAAAACATTGTATCTAATTTACATAGTTCATTAAAACATAGTATGTAATTTACATAGTTCATTAAAATATTGTAAATAATTTACATAGTTCATTTCTTTGTTATCTAGAAGAATGTAGCTTAGTAACAAGCAATTCAGTTAAACTTATCTTCATTTTATATTATCAATTAAAATACGGAACTTTTAGTAATAATAACACGATTTTCTTCAGAATTAAAACTTGTATACACATTGCAAATAATGTTTTCATTAATGTTTAAAGGTTTGAGCAGTTTTTGTATTGTTATCTTAACAGCAAAAATTCTGAAATCTAGATATATAGTTTATTATACACAAAGTAATAGAAAAAGTTCAACAATGTATCTTGTACTGAATTTAAAGATGCTTGTTTTATGATTACTTTCTATTATAAGTGAATTTATTTTAATGCCAAAGGTAACTAAGAAATATCATATGTTATGTAGCAGACATAAAACTTGTTATGTAAAGCAGCATGTGTAATTGAAAAAATAAACACTGTTCAGTACTAGGAGAACAGTCTATGCTAGTGTACTAGTTTGAATAATATTACTAAAAGCTTCTTTGAGCAAGATATATTCTGGTAATATTAAAACAATTATCATTTTTCACGAACTGTAAGTACTAACTATAGTATTTTGTTTTCAATGATGAGCTACTTTTTCTCTGTTTATTTATTATTTATTTTTGATGCTTCTGAAAATAATGTCAATAAAATTAATTGGACTTTATAAAAGCAACTCAACGATAAATCAATTTAATATCAAACGAACTTGGTTGAGGCAAGCTGTCTTTGTTAGTAACAATTTGTTACATCAGAAAATTTTGAAATTTCACATGCGAAATCTTTGTAATGTCCAGAAAGTTATCGAAAGTTTCTTAAGAAAAACCATTATATTTTATCTGCTATTTTCAGTAATTAATCGCTGTACAAGTTCAGTAGATTTGAATGAGCTTGAAACCACCATAAAAAATTAGGAAATGAATATAAATTATGCCTCTTTCGTTCTAGAATGAACACAAATTATAGCATGAAAACATAAATGTTTAGATGAAATAGCCTAAATCTCATAACATTATACATTTATATATATTTATTAATTTTATTACATTGACCTTTCACCTGTGCCTGGCTAACAGTACAGAAGTTACAATTACACAGCTCATGTGTACTCATGTTACTGTATCAAATAACATAAAACTCACCTTTGTCTGTACAAAGTAACTTGTCTTGGCTGTGTTTTAGTCGACTAGTGTTTTGTAAAATACAGTCGCATTTCAATTATTATACATTATATATGTTTATAGATTATTGATATTTTGAAATAAGTTTTTAAGCTTATTTTTCTTAAAATGTAAAACAGTAAATAAATAAATAAAGCAAACAATTATCTCTTCTAGTTACGATCTATGTACTCGGTTGCTGCTAGATGTAGGTTTCTAAGCCTTTAAAAAAATTGCACGTGGAGGATATGAAACAAAATATTTTTTTATATTTTATATATATATACACATTTGAATAACTAAAAAATCATAAATTACTACATCAATACCATAGAATTCCACTATAATTTATCAAGCTCAGTAACTAAGATGTATTTTAGTCTAAAAAAAATATGAAATTTCAAGCAGACTAAAGACACACCCTGCCTCGTTGAAATATTGGTTCAAAAGAAAGAAATGGCATCAAGTCCATTAAAATGGCTGTGAAAGCCACTAGGGGGACATTCTGAGCTTCTGATTGGTTATTCATGTCACATATAGTAGTAAGTGTATATAGGGGAACATTTCCAAAAATCGAAAGAGGTGGGCGGGGTGCCACTGTGTTTGATTTATTACGTGAGCAATATCTTAGGTAATAGAAAAGATAAGACATTCTTATTTTATATTCTAGCTTGTCAGTATCGGTAATTTGAGTTTCTAATTCGTATGAAACTATAAACTTAGTATTTTGACTTCACAAACATTTAATTTGAACCAGTGCTGCATTCAACAGACCACATGACACACAAAAATCTGTTTATCTGTGTTTTTAATATTTGCTTTTAAATTAAGAAATTGAGTAAAATATAGTACTAAAATTTGAATTACAATCCACAGTGTGATACCAAACTTTTTGACATAAATTCATGAAATAGTGGTTCGATATAATTTTGAATGTGAG